ATATATTGATAATATTCTAAACATAAGGGCTAGTTATGCCCTTTAGGGAGTAGTTTGTTACCAAAATAAATGTACCAAATTAAAAAAGACATATTTACTTAAGAAATCAGCTATAGCTTAATATTAGTTATAAAATATTCAGATGATCTTATATCATTTTTCAGGAGCAGAATTGTTCATAAAACATTTTGTTATTAAATAATTATCAAATAAAAAAAAACGAAAAATAATAAAGAATGTCCCAAAAGGGACGCAAAATTTCATACAAGATTTTATTAATTAAAAAGTTAGCAAAGTTTTTACATAGTTTGAAAGGGTAGATATTGCTATTAAATATGAAAGATGATATCGGACAGATTTCTCCGTGACTCATTTGGAGTCGACATTTCTTTTAAGAAAATTCTGTATCACACTTTCAAATTGTTTCAATTCCTGGGTTAGCGGAATCTTGAAAAGATGCAGATGTATATCTTTTGTTAAAATTCACTGCATTGTTGCATTGTTCACTGTTAGGTTACAGGAATTTCGCCCACACTATCATTCACCCTAGCAATATTTTCGGCTCAACGGTTAGTACGAGGCCGACCTGTTTCTTTATTGTCTGCAATATCTGTAATATTTATTAAAATTTGGCAACTAATCTTTTCACAGTTGTTTCATTGAGGCATTCCTTCTACCGAAAATTTCAGGTAATTTGCGCACAATCTCAGCTACACACTCATCTTACTTAATTAATGAATTTTCACAATTTTCACTAGCTCATCCGTCATACAGCGCTCTATTTTCTCTAACCGCAACGTGTTTAGTACAGCATGTAAATCCTGCATTACTTTTGGAACATCCTTTATTGTATATAATAATGTACCTATTCTATATCATTTGTACTAATGAAAAAAACACGTATTTGCCTCTCATTGAAGTTATTAAATAATATTTCCAACCTTAAAAAAATTAACTTATAGTCGTGGCCCTAGTTATGTTGGCCGCTTTATACAAACACATGAAATTTCAGTCAATATTAAACGAGTTTATGTAGCATAACTTCATTTGACTAGATTTAAAAAAAAAACAGATAAGATCTAATAACAACAATAAAAAATATATCTCATAAAATATTCTTGCTTTATCCCGTGAATGTAGCAACCGATCAACCCACTTGCGATACGTTCAAAGTATTATTAGTAATATCTTTTTGTGAAGTGATTGCTATTAAAATTGATGTTAAACCCAGTGATACAATTAGACGGTAAAATAAAGCAATAATATTTTAAGGTGACTGTAATGTTTTAATAAATTTTAGTCATACCTACATTTAATGTATTTTATTTATTAACACTTAAATTTTGTTGCAGGAAAGACAAGAACCAAGGATAAATACCGAGTTGTGTACACGGATCATCAAAGAATTGAATTAGAAAAGGAATTCACTTTCAACAACAAATATATCACAATAAGACGGAAATCGGAACTAGCCTCAAATTTGGGTTTATCTGAAAGGCAAATTAAAATATGGTTCCAAAACAGAAGAGCGAAAGAACGTAAACAGAACAAGAAGCGTGTAGAAGAAAAGAATCAAATAGATATAGTAAACAGTTCGCCATACCAGCAAAACATCATGAATCAGCACCAACAAATCCAGCATTTAGATTTGCAAAACCAACAGACCATTCTGCCCAATATTGTACCTCCTTCCTCCGTAGTTATGCAGAGATTTATGGAAAACAATGCTATGAAATTAGAAAACAGTGAGAATGAACAATTAGGTTAAGTACATCCATTTTTTAACATCTTATAGATCTGTTTTATCTATAAATGTATGACAGCACCCGATGACAAGAAATGAAATATTTTATTGGATTTGATTTATTCATTTAATTTTTATCGAAAATTAAAATGTTATTTCGATTTCTACCAATGGGTGTTTGTCCCCGTCCGATTTTCAAGTGCAATTTTTTTCATTAGTGCAATTTTAAACTCTGAAAGAGAATTATACTAGTTTGTTTATTAAGTTATACTATATAATAATTATATGTGTGATTCGATATAATTAGATTCTTTAAGTTCTCATGTGTGTACGTCTGTAAATGGTATAATTTAACTTTTTCCAGTACTTTTATGCTGGAACAATTTCAGTGATATAAATTGACAAAATTATAGTTTGTCTTATTTAAGTTATAAGTAAAGTATATAATAGTTCCTCTACAATAATAAATATTTGTCTTTTATAACATGACTTTTATTTTTAACATAACCCGAAAACTTTTTAATAATTACATACTGTTACCCTGCCATTTCTTATTTTAATAAGGAATCCGGTTACCGGATTCCAGTGACCGCATGTCACGCATGTTACGACATTAAGTGACCGCATGTCACTGGATGTCGTACCCCTGCACCTCGTACCAAATTTGGAGTTAATTAATATTCAGAAATTCAATTCAATTCGATAGATTCAGGATTTATCCAAAAGAAGAATTTTTGAATATACAAAAAGTAAAAAGGGCAGTTCGAAAATGATTTTAAAATACACTTCTGCACGGCACTGGAATCTGGTACACTGTAAAACCTGACCTTACCCAAGGCGAAGCATATTTTATATTAGCAAATTCAACTGTTTTTGTCGCTATTGTTATTATTAATTAATAAAATAATTTCACATACCTGATGTTACAACAACTGTTCAAAATTTTGTTCACCGACGTGTAAACACATTTGGGCCCGTCGTCACAGTTTCTACGAACTAACACACGTTTCTGGTTCTTGTCCGTTTTGAACTCGTAAGTTATTGGCAGCAGCTCTAATACGTTCACGTAATTCATCAATAGCGTCCACTTCGGTGCGGTACACTTCATTTTTTAAATATCCCCACAAAAAGAAGTCCAAAAGGTCTCAAGTATGATACGCCATACTGTTGATTGGGACGCTCCTTGCACTTGTTGAGCGATTTGCCTAGTACTTATTCGGATATTCTATTCAACAATCTCTAAAATATGTTCCTCAGCTGCTGCAATACGCCGTGGACGATCTAAACCTCAATTTCTTTCAAAATTCGGTTGCAAACTTCCCGTGCCATGCCCGCTTTGCACTGCCGTGGTAAAAGCATTTGGCACATGTCTACTGAAAAGCTACTAAATCATTTTGTCTTGCTTCACCATAAATTAAAACAATATCCATCAACTCCGTAAGCCATTTTTGACATTTGAACTAATGTAAATACTATCGCAACAACGATTAAACTAAAATCGGATTTCAGTATTCGGAATCGCACAGTGCACAACACGAATGATGCTAGAGACTAAAGTATCATAGCGATGTAAAGGTTGCAAATAGTACAACTTCAATAATTTTTTTCTCGGAAACTGTAAGGATTTTACGAAAATTTTTTTTACGATATTGACTCCATTTTTCATGACGCATCTATTCTCAATTTTTTTTGGATAAGTTGTGAATCACCCTGTATTTGGCACGACATGTTACCACCTTAATTAAGTATTTCACTATTAAGGCTGGCGTTTTATATACAAGAAATCCAATTTTTAGTACCTAAGCCAGTGATAGAACAAAAAAGTCCATCTCAATTATAGAAATGTTAAAATACAAGGATTCCTTTAATTTTCGCAGCGAAATATCAGGGAAAAGTGTTAAAAAGTGTGTTTTCAACACCCTATATCTCACAAAGGAAGCGTTCTAAGACCTACGTTTATATGAACTTTTATTATTAAAAAATGATTCTCTATCAATTGTTAAAATTCTACCACAAAAAACTGACTCACCTGTTATTATTATTTGAATTAGCTTAACATTTTAAAAACAAAATAAGAAAGCGAGAGCTAATAATAAAACATATAAGTATTAAAAAAAAGATTTATATTACGTTAAATATAACTTTCTTGTATTTTGAAGTACTATTATTATAATTTCTATCATACTAAAATGCCCTATTAATCTCTGGGAATTCTGTATTATGCAGTATTAGTAATGTCTTTAAATACTTTTCAGCAAATTCAAATTTTATTCTAGCTTTGTAACCAATCCGTGTTTTAAAAATTAGGAAATAATAATACTCGTATATGTACGAGGTTTGATAAAAAAGTGATGGATATTGTTAATTTTCCCAGAAAGTATTTTTTTAATCTTCAATTTTTATCCCATCCCCTTTAAAGTCCTCCTTTAATATTATATACTTATGCCAACGTAGTGTTCACACTGGTGAAACGTTTTTTAGGAATCGTCTTGAGTACGGTTTGCGATTTTACATTTATCTCATCTGTTGGTGAAAAACATCATTTGAGTATCCTTTTGAGTTTGGGAAAAGTCACAGTGGTCATGTCCGGAGAATGGGATGGTTGCAGCATTACAACGATGTTTCGTTGGATAAGTAAAGCGGTATGCGCTGGTGCGTTACCGTGGTGCAAAATCCACGAGTTGTATCTCGTGTTCTTGTTGTTTTCTTCTGATTGCCTCACGCAAATTGCGCAGAACTTGTTAACTCTTTGTTAACTGTACGAACGGGCAGTAAAAATTCGTGATGAACTATTCCATTGTAGTCGAAGAAAACGGTTAGGACTTTCGCATTTTATCAGACCTCGCCTCATCTTCGATATCTTCTTGGCCTTCTTGAAAACATTTGTACTATTGATAAACTCGTGATTGTGACATAGTATCGTCGCCAAAGGCCTATTTTTACATTTTGCATGCTTTCCTGGACTTAATTCCACACATTTAATACAAAATATCAGGCAAAGTCTCTAATCCGACACTTCTCCACACAAAAAATCGCCAAAAACACCTATGCAAGTCTTACTCATTCGCCCTCTAAACACAAACTAACCAGCTGCCTAAAATTGGCAGTCACGTCACTGACAGTGCTATCAATACACAAAATAAGAATCAACTTGATAATCAAGATAAAACGCCCGCAATTTGAAAATACCCGTTACTTTTTGATCAAACTTCATATTAATTAGGACAGTTATTTTAAATAGTTAGTTAGTTCAATTATTAGTTCAATAGTTATAACTTTATTATTTGCTAATTTTCGTTTGTGTCTTTTCTTTTCGGTGAGTAAAATCCATCTAAAGAAATTAAAATTTGTCGAAACTGCCTCAAGAAGAAGAGCTTAAGGAGTTCGTCTGTTATAAACTTGTTATGTGTTGTATTTTGCATTATTATTTTATGTATTGACAATCTACCACTGAAAGCTGAACTGAAGTGAACATCGGTAAGTTTATCATTTTTTTTTGTATTTCTCATTACATCATTTGAGTAAATTCATTATCATATCTGCATTTTCGATCTTACGTTCTTCTTTGAATACAAGTGACTTTAATTTTCAAATACATTGATAAAATCTTAAGCATGATAATTGTAAGAACTAAAGTTATTTATTACTTTAAAAAATAACCAGGCTTCATAATTCTTCCTAATTAAAATCTTTCCTGGGCCATATATTCACACAGGAATTTCCTTTACGGAAGGCATAGAAAATAGAGTATTTTAGTCCCACCTTTCTATAGCCACACAACTTTAACTTCATAAGCTACACCGAGCTGGGATTTAGTAATCTGTACGAAAATTTTTATAAAATATTGCTGGGGAAGCAGAATTCATTTTATTGATAACCACCGTACAGCTCGGCAATATACAAACCATACCATATTCTACTAAGTACTTGTAAAGCCCCAGAGGTCAATTCTACTGTCTTTATTTATAGAGACGAGTTACGAAATTTATTTTTTTCTTAGCTAGAGATGGACCCTTTCAACTACACTTTTAGTTAGTAACGAAGTATGAAATTATATTTTTCGCACTTTTGTCCTTGTTCGTAATTGCTGCAGCAAAACTTCCCTGTTGATATGTAACTCTGTAGGTACATCTTACGCCGGCTACAGATTACGAGCACATTCGGTCAATTTCGCCGTCGCGATTCTGTACGATGAGCATGCTCGTCCAGTAGCTTTGAGGACAGAATCGTCGAATCATCAGTGTTCGAGATGGATCGGTCACAGCTGTTGGCAGTGGCAGTGGTAGCTGCTGTTTTAAGTGAAAAAAGGCATTCAATCTGAGTTAAAAGTTGTACTAAAAATAAAAACGTTTTCCCGCCATTTCCTGTAAACGCCAAAATATGTTACGATGTATTCGACAATAAATTATCTGTTTTATTGTAGTCGCAAATGCGTTGCATAGTGCACGACAATAAGCACTTTGTTGTGCTTGACAACAAGCGGTGTGTTCTTTACGACAACAAACGGTTTGTTGTGCGCGAATTCAGGTTTTTGCAAATATTATATTCGACAGATTTATATCACGAGCTACGGTTTGGTATGACGAACCTCATCGCGGCGACAATGTTCGGCAAAAATTAGAGAAATACGTGGCAGAATTTACAGTGTCTGCATAAAGGTACGAAGAGTAAGTAGACGGCCATAACGAACCACAGCACCTACTCGTAGTAGCGCACATTAGAATCGTACCCTCGTACCATGTGCCAGGCTAACCGTAAACCATTGAATTAAATGTGTAGGGCAACGCACATAGCACCGCACCAGACCTTGTACCAGAGCCTCGCACACTAATATCGAGCTTATTATTTTTTTCAAATCGAAGAAAAGTTAATAACCAGTAAAAAACGCTTAAGTAGGGATTTATAAAGGTGTTCTGACTGTAAAAATGAAAAAAACTCGTGTTTAATATGCTAGTCGTTCAGTAGTCAAAAATATGCTTTCTTTGAATGTTAAAGATCAGCTTGCCAATAAGGACTTTATTGGGCCATGTTATGTGGGGTGCTCCATTATGGCTGTACCCTAACAAACGAATTTGTGAGATTAAAACTGCGTCGAAACTCGAAACCAGTGGATCGAATAAGAGCAAATAGAAGCATTAACATGCTCATTGCAAATTCTTAGCTCATATGGCCAACTTCAAGAGTGAATGTTTAATCGCTCCCGCTTGATCACGAGTTAGCACGAATTAGTAGGTATCTCAAATGAAATAAATCTTCGTGAGTATTAAGTTTGGACAAAATAAAGGTACCTAATTAATTGTGAACAATAGTTACATGGAAATGGAGTGGCGTTTTACAATTAATTTATGATGTTAGGTCGGTATTATGGGATTCTAAAGATAAGTATTTTCAAACTAAACTAAATACCTATAAAGAGGAGGATGCGTGATGAGTGCAGAAATCAAGAAAAAATTCGTTTATTATTAGTGTC